ATCAGAGTTTTTCATGGAGAAGCAGTCAGTGCTGATGTGGAGTCGGTGCAGAGCGCCTCCTGGCGGCAGCTCTCAGGGAGTTCACCAGCAGGTCCAGCTGGTCCAGGTGCAGCTGAGTTTGTTTCCTGAGCCACTCCCAGCATGCAGTACTGCCACCCTGTACATGCAGTACAGCAGTTAGTTCTACAGTCACCCCCTGTACACACATTACTGCAGTCAGTACTTCAACAGTCCTTGTACCTACTGTGCTGTCCAGAGTAAACCTATGCAGTCTCCTGTAGTAGTTGCTCACTTTGCTGCCTGCAGACTTCTTAGTCAACACCTGAAGACAAAAACACACCTCAGCCTGTTTTTCTGTGTAAAGCTGAATATATCAAAGGAAGTGAAACAGTTTGCGAAGTGGAAACACTGAAGGCGCTGAAGCGGGAGGCCAAACAGAAAGACAGGAAGATGCTGAGTTAAGTTAAAGTGTTAGCTGAATGAAAACTGCTCAAAGGAGCTGAAGTGTCAGTTGAAGAGTAGGCACTAAATTTAAAACTGGTTGAAGCTTAAGCTGAAAGGTGTCGAAGTGACAGTTGACGTTTCAGCTGATGTGTATGCTGAGCTAAAAGAACGTAAACTGGCAGCTGAAGCATGAGCGATGAAAGCAGCTGAAGTGTGTGTTCACTCACACACTTGTTGAGTTCGTCAATCTGTCTGTGGATGGAGCTCAAGAAGCCGGTGGTCTTGATGGCATCCCAGGTAACGGAGGACCAGTTGCCATGACGATAGAGCAGTACTTCAACAGTCCTTGTACTTACTGTGCTGTCCAGAGTAAACCTATGCAGTCTCCTGTAGTAGTTGCTCACTTTGCTGCCTGCAGACTTCTTAGTCAACACCTGAAGACAAAAACACACCTCAGCCTGTTTTTCTGTGTAAAGCTGAAGATATCAAAGGAAGTGAAACAGTTTGCGAAGTGGAAACACTGAAGGCGCTGAAGCGGGAGGCCAAACAGAAAGACAGGAAGATGCTGAGTTAAGTTAAAGTGTTAGCTGAATGAAAACTGCTCAAAGGAGCTGAAGTGTCAGTTGAAGAGTAGGCACTAAATTTAAAACTGGTTGAAGCTTAAGCTGAAAGGTGTCGAAGTGACAGTTGACGTTTCAGCTGATGTGTATGCTGAGCTAAAAGAACGTAAACTGGCAGCTGAAGCATGAGCGATGAAAGCAGCTGAAGTGTGTGTTCACTCACACACTTGTTGAGTTCGTCAATCTGTCTGTGGATGGAGCTCAAGAAGCCGGTGGTCTTGATGGCATCCCAGGTAACGGAGGACCAGTTGCCATGACGATAGAGACTGGCGATCTCCATCAGACTGTCTCTGATGAAAATCAGCTGGGTCTCCACCTGGAGAGAGAGAGAGAGACAGGTGTGACTAGTAGATTTCTGGTTGGCTGCCAGAGCTGATTGACTGACTGATTGATTGATTGATTGATTGATTGATTGATTACCTCAGCCTTTCGTATGTGACGATAGAGTTTTTCTGGGAAGGGAACTGGACCATCCTCTTGAGTCATTGGACCGCCCTGGAACACAAAGAGACCACGCTTTGTTTCACCACATCACACACTTTACAAACCAATGGGAATTGAACTGGTTCCACTGGTTTTTAGTGGTTTCCACACAGGAATTATTTTCATATTTTTTCCTGATTTATTTGTAAAAACTGAATGAGATAAGAAAACTGCACACGGACTGTACATTCTGACCAAACCTGAACACTTTTCTTTTGTATAAACATTTTGGAAAACAGAAAAAACAAGCAAACCCAACAAAATTCTCATTTGTACAGACAATATATATACATGTAAACATATAGAGTATAATCTGTA